GCAACCATTCTTGATAAGGGGGAGCCGTTAGTGCTCGCAGGTATACGATAGCATATCGACTGCATCCTGCAACTATTAAAACCTCCTATGCGTGAATTTCCGCTATCGGATGTTTGCTTTGATGTTGTGTTAGAGCATTTATCCCAAAAAAGGACAGGCGTCTACGCCATTTCAGCTGCTTTGCGATATGTGCATTTCCGCTTTTATCGTCGGTTATAAGATAATTTTACCCTGGCTTTCTCTCGAGTTCGGATAAGCCAGGCTTATTTAAACACAGCTGGGATTTACATTTTTTGATTATGTGGGAATGTAGTTAACTGTCAAAACTAGTAAATCTATCCTATTTTTTATTCTCACGTTTTTTGAGGTCAGCAAGTCACGGCTTCTAGTTTATTTCTAAAAGTCAATTTGCCTGTTAGCAGACATGAGCTGCATGTTAAATAGGAAGGGCTTTTTGAAATGGCACCAAACATATTCTCCGAAGATATTATCAGCATAAACAGGAACAGTGCATCATCAATCACAGTATGTGTTTTTTCTCTCAGAGAGTCGTTCGTCAGTGGATCGAGGTGTGTTGAGTACTCCCCACACTGTGAACGTCCTCAGGAAGCGTCTGAATAAGCTTCCCTAGTAACAAAAGCTCTCAACTTCTTATCTGTAGATTCCGAGATAGCTGTAAACTTACTATTTCCTTCATTCTAATAAGTCGTCTTGCTTCCATTATATTTTCTTGTGGTATAAATGTCTGTCAAAATGAGATGAGCGTGTTCTTTTTTGTTTTTTCGAACAACCACACTCGTTTTAGCACAATGTTTGAATTATACGTTTCATAAATTCTGCATATAAGAACGACATGCGTACCTGTATCGTTTTAATGGGCTTTTAAGGGGTTCTGACATTTGCGCAAAATAAACTCATTGATGCTGATTGATTATTTGATGCTCGAAGCCGTGTTCAATTACAATTTATTGGCATTCCACCGCACTTCCTATGTCATGCTTCTGCATGGACATTATCCTCGTTTGTAAAATATTATATCCTGTTTTGTTTGGCCATCGTATGAACTTACTAACAACTGCGGATTTCTGATGGGAGAGGAGATTGCTGTTTGAATACGCAATGTGACTTCATGTGCAGATTCCAATGTTGGCGGATGTGAAATTCAAATTTACTCGAAAGATTTCTATGGGTATTCAAGAACGTTCCAAAGAGGTCCTTACAAATAAATATAGGCCAAATCAAATAGTCAACAAACATGAAGCCTCCTTTAAAACCGGGAGTTTCCGTTCACGTAGAAATGACAGCAGCTTTGCAAAGCCTGATAATCATTTTTGCAATATAGTACACACCCAACACATGAGCATATCCGTTTTTTTCATAAATACGTGAAACTATGCCTATTAATATTATCCTGGGAAGTTCAGAAATGAATATTTACTTTTACCAGCATCAGAATACATCTGGTAAGATGCAGCGCGAATGTCAAGGCGTCTCAATATTAAGTAATGGCACATAAGTGCTGAACAATGCTGAGCCGCTACGTTTTCCTAAATATTCATTGGAAAGGTTGCCATTTTTGAAGATCTACCATTTTAGGGCCGGGAAGTCAGCGGTATCTCCCCGAAGAACATTTATACGGGGGTCGAAAGTTAAAGAGAAACAAAAACATAGGGCTAAAACAGGCATTTTGACCTAGTGTAATTTTCTCAGGTTGCCGAACTTAAGCGGATTCAAAAGCCAAAATCTTGGGAAATCTGAAATTATACAGGACGATGCCGCTAGACGATCATTTTGACAATTCCAGGTTAGGTATCCATTGAAAACCTAGTCAATTTCCAAACAGTCGGTCTGTCGCTCCGCGCAGACGATGGGTGGTCATTGCACTTGACAGCTAGTCGGCATGTTGTGATTTGCGTGCTTTTACCCTTTTATGAGAATATAGATGGTTTTTGAGCTTGTGAGATACGAGGTAATCGGCCGGATAATAGAAGATGGAACGTATCCCAATGGTTATAAATAGTAAATTATATAAGGCGTGGAAGTCCAGAGTGTTATAGATAATTTAACTAAGCTTAGAAGGAGTAGAATTTTAGTATTAGCCAAGTGACTCCTAGACGAGTACAGTCTAGCCATGAGCGGGCTGAGTCCAGAGTTGCATTGCAGCGAGTGAAGTCGCCAGCTGCGGGAGTGTGTGATCGTAAGCAATCCCCGCTGTAGGGTCCTTTGTGAACTGGCCTTGGGACGTACATGGCCAGTCAGGACAGACAGAGGTCGTAAACACACCGGTGACCTTAACTTAAGGTTTGACACCGTCTGGTGCGCACGTACTGGTGGACACAAGATGCAGACATGCGGGATATGCCCAAGAGGCAAGCGAGCAAAGCATGGCTTAGTGTACGAGGTCGCTACAAGCTTGCACATGTATGGTCTAGTCCTGCGGGTTTTACCAGAAACTAGCTTCCCATTTTCCCTTAATATAGTCGCTTTGCATGAGACCGCATCTTTATGAGAAAAAACACCTACTATTCGTCTGATTTCAGCAGTAGCTTCGGGTTATTCTCTCTAGCACCCAATTTCATTTTTATTTCATACGGCATTTTGAAATGCTCTTTTGAATAGTCGTCAAATGCGATAATTTAAGCCTCATTATTTTGATTAGCGTTAAACAACATGACGATAAGCTTATCGGTGTAGAATAGCACCATTTCTACTATGTATGTGCAGCACAGGTTAGCTACTACTCAGACATGATTATTATGCTCCCAGTAAAATACAGTGAGTGAATGGGACCGACTCCAGGGTGATAATTTGCCCATAAAGGTAATTTTATGCAGACGTCTAGGCTAATTAACAAAGTACTCCGTCGCAGTATTCAGGGTTCAGCTGAACTCACCGTTTCCCACCATACGCTGTTTGCCGCAAGGAGAAGCCGGTGGCACCTTTGCAGCAAAATCATCACTTGCCTTCCCAGACTCTCGAAGGACTCTTCCTTCTCGGCGGAGGTTGCATCAATAGCCTGTTTGGCCTTGATCAGGGTGTAAAACGCCTGAAGACCCAGCTCGTCGGTCACGGCGCTATGTCCCCAGTTGAGCATCACTTTACAGGCAGCCTGATTTTGCCTTGACTTCACAAGACTGTCTTTCTGGGAGTTAAGTTCAGTCCATGCTTTTCGTACACTGGCAAGTTTTTTCTCCAAGAAAACTACTACCTAAATTTAAAAAAAACATTTACTCTGAACCAAGGAGCGTCTGTGGATAAAGCGATACCAAAGAACGTCATAACAATGAGTATCTTGAACAGAAGCAAGAATTAACTAAATAAGTAAAACATTCATCCCTCTGGAGAATGGGCATCCCAAGAAGTATAATTCGGTCGAAGAAGTACTTTGGGAAACGGTGGTTTATTGTGTGGATTTTCGACATTGGCTTACCAAATCGTCGTCAGACGGATGGAGATTGCATGAAACAGTTAATCCAAAATGATGGCTATCAGAATCTTATAGAGTGGGTCGGGGTAATAGTTGATAATCGTCACTCGCATGTGATTACGTGGTC